TGAAGCATGATTTTGCTTGTGTGTAATATTAGTAATGTTATTCGATAATTTCCACACTGTGTCAGATCACCTTTTTTGAAATGGGAATAATATGGATCTCTTCCGTATTACTTGTACAAGATTGTTGTTGTTAAGTGTCGTCGAGTCACAGACGACTCATAGCGACCCTATGAAGGAGAGTCCTCAACACTTGGGTGTCTCTCATCCTCTCTCCAGGTTCATAGGGTTTCTGGAGGCAAGCTATTATGGAAGTGGAAGCCACTCCTCCTTCCAAGCTTGTTTTAATCAGGGGGCTCCACCCCACTCTCTGTCCACATTGGGTAACCAGCCATTAACGCATTTTACACATCAGTGTCACAGTGATCAACCTCACAACAACCACAAGTGACCGCTGTACGGCAACTTGTACACCAGGGCTATACGACCTAGAGGAATGTCTGAACAAAAGCAATGAGAGACAAGTCACTATAAGATAATTTAATGTCATATTCAGTCCTTTTGTTCATATGGCCACTGTGAGTCATGCCCAACTCGAAGGCAGTCAACAACAATAATAGTCGCAATAGCATGAATATAATAGAATAACTGAAATCCACATTTTTAAACATGCAAAAAAACACATAGTTTGAATCTAACAACTGCTCTTCAAGAGAAAGAGTGTCGGTCTCCTCCTGTGCAATTTACTGCCTCTGAAAACCCTTGGAGGGTCAGCTCTGAGGTGATTCGAACTTGATGGTAAATGACAACAATCAATTTGAAAGTGGAGTAATGATTAGGAGTTGTGTTGGCTGTGCCAGTAAAATAAGTGAAGAATCAGTCAAAATACTTTTTTTTCTCTTAGTTATCAGTATTAATTTAGATTGGGCTCTAGTAATCTAGCAAATTCTAATCCTTGACAGTAACTCTTTGTTCATTTTCCAACATTGCATATTTCAGCCTTACCATGTGTAAATGATATTATAGTCAAACAAAAAAGGTCTTTGGACAGCTCAAAATAATTTACCCTTCAAACCTGAAGTACCATTATTTTATATACAACCACTCGGATATATTTTTGGTCAGGAAAACTTACAGAAGGGATATGAAGAAGTAATTGAAGTCATACAAATAATGAAGAGCTCACTCTTGCATGATGCTGTTTGTGTTCTGATATTCTTTAACATAGTTCTTATAGTATCATTGTATTCTGTTTCTTAGGTTACAGTCTAAAGAAATGTGCATTTGATTGAAATGCCTAAATCTTCAAGTCTCAGGGACATACCTATGCCATTATATGTATATTGTGTGAGTGATAGTGTTATATAGTCGAGGGCAACTGTAATGGGATTTTTGCATTTTTTTATCACTGCATCATGTATTCTCTGGGAGAACGTAGCTGCTGTGTCATCTACTGTTTTCATCACTGTTATTTCACTGTACTGCTTCTTGATGATTCCCTGTTTATTTATTTGAAAATGAATGGTTGTATAAAAAGTCAAAGTTTACTGGTCTGATAGAGACTGCTGGAATCCTTGAGACCATGAACCTTAGTCACCCTTCAGACTTGGAACACAACTGATCACTGTGACTCAGTGTCCATCTAAACAGTGGACAGGTCCAGTAAGGTAATGAAGGGAGTTTTGGTGGCATAGTATGCAGGGAGCTGTGATGCTAACCCAGAGGCTGTGCAGTTGAAATGCACCAGTGTTTCCTAGAGAGAAAGATGTTGTATTTGTTGTTTATGTATTATTGCTGTTTTAGAATATTGTTTTTCCAGCACTTTATACATCTATCAGTTAGTAAACTCATCTGCTGACAACTAACTTCTTTTCTTGCCTCACATTAACAGATGATGTATAATAATCAGCATGGCTCGAGTATCACAAGCTAAAAGCAATGGAGGATACAAGCTCCTGACTGTATTGTTACCAAGAAAACTAAGCATTTTACTGTAGTGTACCTGTGCTGTCTAAGAGGTCTACCCACAAGCAAATAGATCCTTAGGATCTGAATGGTTATATGTTATGCAGAAGCAATGATTTAGAGGTACCAATGATTTAGAATATCCAGTACCCTTGGAAAAATGTTCATGGTACTTCCCTAAAACTTGAGGATCTGATTTGCTCCTGAGAAGACCTCTTACCCAGCACGGATACACAAAAGTCAAATGCTTAGTTTTCTTGGTAACAATATAGTAAGGATCAGGCATCCTCTGTTGCTTTTAGCTTGTGATACTTTACTTACTGAACCATGCTGGTTACTATACATGTCTGTTAATGTGAGGTGAGAAGTTAGTTGTCAGTAGATGAGTTACTGATAGATGTATGAAATGCTAGAAAAGTGATATTCCAAAAGAACATTTGTCCCTAAATGTGAACAGGAAAACAGTGTGTTGCTCATCATCATATCCCTAGCAACTAGCAAGCATGTTTGGCACAAATTAGATACTTGGAAAAGATTTATTTAGCAAATAATAAGTTAATGAATATTTTTACTTCATTTTCTTCTACCATCCCATTTTAATTTTCTAGTCTTTAAGATACACTGCAGCTTTTCCCCCACCCCCCACCCCCAGCTTTCTACTTTTGCCTCTTAATCTCTAAACAGTATAGGAGTTAACGGACTTAGAGAGAGAGAGAGAGAGAGAGAGTGTGTGTGTGTGTGTGTGTGTGTGTACCTTCAAATTGGATCTGACTGGTACAGGAGGAGATTGTCCCTCCTTCTCTAGCAGAGCATCTGGTGGATTGGAACAGCACACTTCTGGGATTGCAGTGCAGCTTCTTGTCACTAGGCCACCAGGGCTCCCTTCAGACTTAGATTATTTTATCGGCAAAAACAGTCTAGGGAATTTTTTGTAATAGTTCATAATTCTCATGAGATACCTTAGTATTGGTGATAACATACCCAGATTACAAACCTAGACAGAAATTACCTGGTATAATCTAGTAGAAAAGCTTGCTCTGCGGTGCTGTGTTGTCTCTCCATACTTCTGAGCTAACACTAAAGTGATCCATCATTTCCTCCTCACAGATGTTTTGTGCACATGCTGTGAAAACACTGTTAACTTGTGCTGATTTTGCTCTTATCTTACTAGTGATATGACAGAAATAAGAAATTATCTTTAACATCACATTTTTAATAAACCTAAATAAAGCCTTTGTAAACTAGTCTAAACCCAGGTGGTCCACTATTTTTCAGCAGATGTCTAAACTGCTAGTGGGAGTGTAAAATAGTGCAACCACTATGGAAGGTGGCAAAAGTTGGAAATGAAATACCATTTGACCCAGCAATTCCACTACTAGGAATATACCCTAAAGAAACCAGCGCTGCCATCCAGACAGATACATGCACACCCATGTTTATAGCTACTTTACTCAAAGTAGCAAAGAGATGGAAGCAACCCAAGTGCCCAGTGGCAAATGAATAGATAGAAAAACTGTGGTATAGTCACACAAAGGAATACTATTCAGCACTGAAGAACAAGAAACTCATAAAATATTACACATGGGTGACCCTTGAGGACATTATGCTGAGTGAAATATCTCAGTCACAAAAGGGCAAATACTGCATAACACCACTGTTAAAAATGGAACTGACATGGGGATTAGGGGGAAACTAAGAAAAGTGGTGATAAATAATGAACACTGCATTGGAACAGATTAAGAACTGTTTAAAAAGGAATTGTTTGTATGACAATAGTCCCGAATAAGAGGTGCATAGCAAAGTGGACTAGGGGAGGTATGGATGGAGAAGAAAGAAATTATGCAACAATGAATATTTTTTTTTAAGTGAACGGAATGGGGGGATAAGGAGGAAAATAGGCATCAATGAATGAATGAAAACCCAACTTTTCTATAAACTTTATTAAAATCACAATTTTAAAAAAGATTGTAATAAGTACAAAACTGCATGTACTAACTAGTGTAGGTGGAATCAGAATTTAGGCTAATGAGAAATAAAATGTTTGCTTTTTTCTGCTTGGTTAGTAAGAATTACTTTTCTTTTTCTGTCATTTTGGTAGTTAGAATGCATTGTTTTTAGAATTATTTAAAAGTACACTGTAAATGACCTTGAATATATCTACAGCTTAATCTGATGCAGAAAAAGGATTTCATGTGTAAATGGTAATTTAATGTTGTTGGTTTGTTTTGTTTTGTTTTCATTTTTATTGTATTATTTTTGTATGTACCCTCAAATCAGATCTGACTGGTACAGGAGGAGGTTGTCCCCTCCTTCTCCAGCAGAGCATCTGGTGGATTAATGTTGTTTTTAAGTGCCCTCTATTCACTAGCAACTTATACCGACACAATATACAACAGCTCTGAACCCTTCTCTGTTATGTGCCAGCCTTATCGTCTCTGACTCACCTACCCCCATAACTCCAGTCACTGAATCAATCCATCTCATCAAGGGTCTTCCTCTTTTGCACTGCCCCTCCACCCTCCAAAGCATGATGTCCTTCTGTCCCTCTCTAAGAACTGGTCCCTCCTTGAAACATGCCTGAAGTATGTCAGATGAAGCTCAGAATCATTGCCTCTAAGGAGCAGCCTGGTTTCACCCTCTCCAGGACAAATCTGTTTGTCTCCAAGCAGTCCATGGTATATGTAATACTCTTCTCCAACACCACAGTTCAAAGGCATCAATTCTCCTTCTGTCATCCCTTGTCATTGCCAAGCTCTCTGGTGCATTGCAAGTAATTGCAAAGACGATGGCCTGGATCAGGCACACCTTAATTTCCAGATTGACATCGTTGCTTTTCAGTACTCTGGAGAGGTCCCTGACAGCAGACTTTCCCAATGCAGTCCATCTTTTGACTCCCTGGGTGCTGGTACCAAGACTATTGATAGTGGAGCCAAGCAAACTAAAGCTGTTAACAATCTCAGTCTCTTCACCATCTATCATGATGTAGTGAGAGGTTTTAAAATAATGCCCTGTCTTACATTATATTTTTAAATAATACAAGCTCCTGGAACCCGGGGAAAAGGAATTTTTTAAAGTTAATTAATTTCTTTCCTTTCCAGATGCCAGAATTCCAGAAAAGTTTTGTTCGCATCAAAAATCCTACAAGGGTGGAAGAAATTATCTGTGGTCTTATCAAAGGAGGAGCTGCTAAACTTCAGGTGAATAATTATCAAGAGGTTTTTATTATTAAAATCCAGGCAGGCTTAGTCATACTCAAACTCCGGGCTGTTGTGTTGATACCAACTCAGCAATTTTCCATTTGGTTTCTGAGAAGAAAAAGGACAGTCCAAGGACACAGCCCATCTTTCTCCCACTGAGCAGCTGGTAAATTTGAACCAATAATATTTTGTTAGCAGCTCTGTACTACCAGGGCTCCTTTAAGCTATATAAAACCATTTGCAAAACTTTATATAGTTCTGTTAAAATCTGAGTAACTATAGATGTAGACAAACTTTTTGCCTATCTACAGAAACCTAAGAGGTATATCCACAGTTGATTGAAACATAAAATACTCAAGTAGAAAAAACAAAAATAAATTAAAAAAAAATATTTTAATAGATACACAAAAAACCTGAAATATATTCGTGATTACCAGGCCAGGAGAGCAAGAGAAGGGGAAATCAGTGTAGAGAGGGCGCAGAGTTTCTGTTAATGACCGTGTGCTGTTTTGGAAAGGGATAAAGATGACAATTGTACAGCAGGATCATTGTCAGTGTTACCGAATTGTGTGTAGAAATGTTCCATAGAATTGGAAGATGCTTTGTTTCATATATATTTTACCACAATAAAACATAAATGAATCACTAAAAATAGTCTTCTCTTTAAACTATAAAACAATTTGATTCTGTACAAAAGTAGTATTTTAAGAATACAATTTAAAAGTAGGTACCCTCAAGTTCCATCTTTAAACTAAGCAGAGTAGTTCAAATTAAGGCATAATCTTATTAGAAGATAACTAGTCTTTAAATTTTTCTTTTTTAAAAAGTTTGTTATAAATGCAAATGAGATTAACATAATCTGAATATTCAGTGAAAAATATATTTAGCCCAATCCCCTAAATTTTAAGTGCTAGTAAACTGTTTCAATATCGTTTACTTTAAGTAGGCAAATTATTTCAATTTAGAAATTAAACCCCAAACGCCACACTTTCAGGGACTAAAATCTATATAATTGCTTCCTCCTGTGTTTTTTTATATTGACGCAAATGGGTTAGAATGACTTAGTTTTAGGTCACATGGGAAACTACCTAGTGATGGATTTAAAAGGTTCACACACGCACACAAACAATGAGCATATCACTTGTAATATGCAATATTTTACCTTTAAAGAGATAATAACTATATTACCTATATGTGCAAGCTGCTATACTGCTTATTCAGATTTTATTTAGTAACAAGGTTAGAGTACTAGGTATCATGCCCAGAACTTTATACATGATCTCCATTTGAAAAGTTAAAGCATTGAGAAATGACCTCTCCAAACAGGGCCCAAGACCATGCACCGTGAGTGCTTACAAGAAGTATGCTGTATGTATTTGCATTTCACACAGTATTTCTGCTTTAGGAACTTTATGTTCATGCTTTTCTTTCTTTTCTCACAGATAATAACAGATTTTGATATGACACTAAGTAGATTTTCCTACAAAGGCAAGAGATGCCCAACGTGTCATAGTAAGTGGATTAATTAAACAAGTCATTAAAGTAACCATTATTTTAAGATCCTTTCACTTGAATTATCTAAGAGGTAATAGATTTTTTCATTCTTTTTTACACATTTTTTTTCTTTTTTACACATTTAAAGTAATGAGATCTGAGAAAAAGGGAACCTGTCTTTTTCTTTTTGAATCACATGTATGTATATAGTTACTTTAAAAAAAATTGTAAGGATTTTCCTCCCTGCTGTGTTATATAAATGATATTTGTATATGTAGTTTTCTGTAACATTTTACTTTAAATGTAGTCCATTCATTATTCAAGAAACAGAAATGAATTTTAAACTTTGAGTTAACTAATGAAACATTTATCAAAAATTTGGTGTTTTCTAGAGATTTTGGTATTTTCTAAAGTATTTCAAAGGTAAATGCCTTGCTTCTAATTAATTACAGAGGAGGTGAAAATGGGAATAATCAGTATACAATTTGTGTTTTAAAACTGGTTTGACTAATTTGACAGTACACACACACACATATACTCCCACAAATTAATAATAAAAATGAAAAAATAAAACTGGATTGACTAAGTCAGTAATCTAGATAACTCATTTAGCCCAGATTTTAAAACATTTATAAATCTTCTAGAAATTATATATAAATTTTTTTGTATATAAATTCAAAACAAAAACTAGTACTAAAACAAAAAGTTTTACTAACTGTACTATTTGATTTAGCATTTAATGTAAACTTACAACAATAGTAATTTTTTATAAAAGTAGTAGCACAATTATAATGTGTAGTTTGATACCTGTTTTGCATTTTCTCTGTAGATGTCATTGACAACTGTAAACTGGTTACAGATGAATGTCGAAAAAAGGTAAACACTAGTAATACCCTGTTGCTCTTCATAAGCTTTTCACTGACCCATTTTTCAAATGTACATCACCAGTTCCTCCTCCTTAGTTGGTCAAAGCTATCTATCATACATGACCATTGATATTTGAACCCACAGCATAGCTTCCAGTAGCAAAGCAATGTGCAGGCCACCACAGCACAACAAAATGGCAAATGAGCAGACGTACTCGCTTATCTCTGCCATGAAATTTGCAAGACCTGCCTGGCCAACCAACTGGAAGACATTCCTGTTTGTGCCTATTCCACAGAAAAATGATAAGGCAGAAAATTTTTAACAATATCATTAATATCATATTAAATATTAAATTTTGCTGAAAACAATTTCAAAATGGTTGCAGCAGTACATCAATAGGGAATTGCCAGATCTTGAAGCTAACTTTAGGGAAAAAACCTAGAATGAAAGACAACAAACATTCCATGATGTCAGATGGATATTGGCTGGAAGTTGAGAATACCAGAAAGATGGTTACCTATGTCTTGTTGACTATTCAGAGATCATGTAGATACTGCAAATTAAAGATAACATTATAAAGAATGAGAAATCTCAAAACATTTAGCTGTGCTCATGCAGAGCCTATACATGGACCAAGAAACAGTCACTCGAACAGAACAAAAGGATACTGCATGGTTTTAAATAAGGAAAGATGTTTATCTGGGTTTATCCTTTAATCAAACTTACTCAGTCTCCATGCTGAGCTGAGATTGAATCTGAGAAATTGGACTATGAAGAAGAAGACAGCCTTGAGATTGGGAGAAAACCTGCGAATAGCTCATGATGAGATGATTTCAGCAGCCTTGCTGGCTGAAAGTGAAGAGGATTTGGGACTAGTGAAAATCTGCACTGTAGAACAGCTGAGCACCACATTTCCATGTGTTTGTAATTTCATTCTCTTCTACCGTCTGCATGTAACAAACAATTTCCTCACAGATTAGCCAGTTGTCTATAGGTGAAAATGAAAAAAAACAAATTAACTCTTTAAAAACAAAAATATAATGAAGATCAAAGACTATATAACCTTTAGTATAGATTAGAGCTAAGCATAAAACTCCTCATAACTGGACCAATAAACAACATCATGATAAATGAAAAACAGATTAAAGCAGTCCACAGATCAAATTATATATTGAAGGAGGAAGTATTGAATATCAAAGAGCAAAGATATAACTTTGAAGAATAAGGTGTGCCTGACCAAAGTTGGCTCATATGCGTATGAGACCTCCACAGTGAATGAGGAAGTCTGAAGAATTGATGCCTTTGAGGAGTAGTGCTTGTAAAAAATGTTCACTCTAGCAGGGGCTGCCAGAGGAACAAATTAATTTGTCTTGGAAGCTGTGCAGTTCGAGTGCTCCTTCGAAGTGAGGATAGACTTTGTTTCCTGTACTTTGGGCATGTTGTCATGTTAACTGGAAGGGCCAGTCCTTGGAGAAGTACAACATGCTTGGTAGAGTAGAGAGTCAGAAAAAAAAAGGAGACACTTAGCCAGATGAATTGACACAGCTGATGCAACACTGGGTGCAAATACTAGTGATTGTGAGAATGACACAGATCTGGACATTGTGCTGCTGTACAAAGGTTTGCTGGGACTCATCACTGACTCAGCCGCATTCATAGCCTAACAACAGGAAAAGTAAACCACATTACTCAAGAACTTCACTTCTTTTTGTTTGCTTGGTTTTGGTTGTTAGGTTGTTTGGGCTTTTTTCCCCCTTCATATACATTATGTTTCACACATTCCTTCATTCACATTGTGTTTTATATGATCATTTCCATACACTGTGTCTATAAAATTCATCACTATTGATCTCTGTCCACTATTACGCCATCATTTTCACATCCCACTGGATCTTTCCTAGTTCCTTCAGCCTCACCCTCTGCCCACCAAACTTTGCAACCCCAGGACATCTGGCTCCCTCAGGCCTCTTGCACCTTCCCTCCCCTTCTCTCTTTAGACATTTATACACATCTTACTAGTTATCTTTCTATTTTTACAATAATGGTCTTTTGCAGTATTTGAAGGAATTCAAATTCTCTTGCCTAAGACTGTCTTCACATTTATTCTTGTAAACGAGAGTTAGCATCAAATGCTTATAGTCCTCTCTGACATATAGTAAGCAATCAGTAAATGTGAGATTGATTGTTGTATGGATCGTACATTCTCAACATATTTTTAAAGGAAAAATTAACAGTGACTTTAAAAACTTACATTAAAATTTTTAGAATCATTTCCAAAATATCTGATATCCCTCTGTTAACTGGTAAATGAAAACAAAAGTACTTTGGTTTTATGTCGATTTCCCTGCCTTTTATTGATCTTCTTTGCTTGAGTATCTGTATAAATCTTAAAATAATGCTCAATGTGTGAATGAAATGTAATATTTTTATAGAAAAACGTAAGTGTATTTTTTCAGTGTTAATTTTGGCTATTAATTTGTTGATCTGACAGGACTTAAAGAAAGGTCACTTTTTACAGATACACTTAGTTATACCAAGGTCCATAAAGGTCTATTCATTAATTTATGAAAAATGCTTGTTTCCATTTCTTTAAAATTAAGAATATTATTAAAAAGAATAATTCATCTTCTTCCTGATTATTTATTTCTAGCTATTTCAGTTGAAGGAAAAATACTATGCTATTGAAGTTGACCCTGTTCTTACTGTAGAAGAGAAGTACCCATATATGGTGGAGTGGTGAGTGTGCACTGAGGGGCAGGTGGGTTAGAAATAACATTTCAATTATAACTAAGGATTTAGCTCTGCTGCATGATCCAGAAGATGCTGTGCTGCTAAGCCAGAGATGGATCGAATCCATCTGTAGCTCCCATATGATCAATTCAGAAATTAGCCAGTGAATTAGAGCCATGAATGAATTATATAAAAATAATCCACTAATCACTCTATCAGTCTGAGATTTTGTGTTTTAAGATGATCAGTATAAAATTGAAAGCATTGCACCTAAGTCTTAAGTAAAAACACCCATTCTTTTAAAAAAAAAAAAATTGGAGCAAGATACATACTGAAAATGAACTGTGATTTTAAATTGCCTGTGTACTGAGGAGCAGTCCCCTGGGTGACATGGTCTCCAGTACATAGACCTTCTGGTTTTGCCTGAATCAGAACGCAACGTTCCAAGCAGCCCTGCTGACATCATTGTGCAGAGTTCTGGTGGGAAATGTTGTGATTAGAGATTCTTTTAAGTAAAGCAGGGTAGCCTGTGTTTAAAACTCTTTGTAACCAGGACTTTTCTTTCTTATTCAATAGGCAGCAGCTTCCATGCCTAGGTCTTGTTTGAAAATTTAAACTGCCTACAGATTTTTATTTTATTTTTTTTAAAAAAAGAGCTTTGCTCTAATTCTTTTTATCATAGCCAGAGAGATGGTTATGCTATCCTGGGTGAGATTTAGTTCTTTTCTGTAGACTAAGAAAAGGTTTAAAGCAAGCTTCCTTTCATTATGTTATAAGCCCGTATATAAGCTAAGTCAGAGTTTGAGAGAACTGAGAAATGAAGAAAGAACTTCGATGTCTCAGTCTGAGATATATGTATGTGTATACGCATCCATTTAGCTTAAGGTCTAAAATATAGATACAGAAATTTATATGATGAATGAAATGGTAGATATTTTTCATGCTAAACAGACCATTGTAATAAAAATAGTTTTATTAGTAGTTTTATTAATAGTTTTACTTTGCTTTAATTAATATTCTTCTCCCCCCCTTTCTTCATTGACTCCAGGTATACTAAGTCACATGGTTTACTTGTTGAACAAGCTTTACCAAAAGCAAAACTTAAAGAAATTGTGGAAGAATCTGACATTATGCTCAAGTAAGTTTGCCAAGCTTCTTGTTGTATATGAATATAAAGTGTAGTTATGAATGTTTTCAAATATATACATTTTTGCTAAAATAGTCTATAACAGATGCAACCTAAAAACACTTCTGAAATATGCCACATACTACAAAATAGTAGTGAGATGAGAATTTAAAAGAAAATGTGGGATTTTCTCCTGTAAAGGTTTACCATCTTGGAAACCCAGTGGAGTTGCTCCCAGTTGTGCTTTACAGAGTGTGTTTGGATTTTGGGTTTTGGGTGATGTTTAAATAAATCTCAAACCTCTTATTTGTGTATCTACTTTCCAATTCTTTGCTTTGAATTATAACCTCTATTATTCCTGTGGGTCATTGGGACACTGCGTAACTGCCTCCATAGGTTTCTGAAGCTGGTAATTTTTAAAACTGTTATTTGTAGATAATGCTGCAGTAAATATGTATATAATCAGTTCATGTCACTACCTTTAACTCTGTTTTAGGATATATACCTCCTAAGGGAATTGTTAGATCAAACAGTGTTTTCATTTCAGCTTTTTAGGGAATTGCTTTTCACAGTGCTTGTACCATTTTACATTCCCCAGCGGGGTGAGGGAAAAGAGTTCTGGTCTCTCCACCCTCACCACCATCTGGTGCTTACTCTCCCATTGAACTTTGCTGTTGATGTTGGGGTGAGATGAGATCTCATTGGTGCTTTGATTTGTATCTCTGTTCTGTAATAGCTAATGATTTAGATAAAACACTTTAACTTACAAATTTATAAAATCAAGATTATATAAAAAATTTCTTAGCAAATGCTTTTTATTGAAGGAATGTTTGAAAATCAAATAGAAAAGGGTTTAGCCAGTACCCTTTTTTCAAGTTTACATGAACCTTCTTTCAGGCAGCAAAGATTGTGGGACTTGGGCTGAGTTTTGCTCTGTTAAACTCTGGAGTCACTATGAGTTGAACTGACTCAACGCAACCCAACAACCATAACTTTCTGAGTTCTCAAACTCCCTGGAAAACACTCTGAGAAGGTGAATGTATTTTAGCATATAATTAAAATATCCATAATGTATAAGGTGTAAAAAGTATATAAACTTATTTTTAATGTTCTTTCAACGCTCACTCATTGCCATCAAGTCGAAACCAAATCATAGCTGACATCACCTTTTCAATCTTTCAACTTCTCAGACAAATATAATGATGCTTAAAAATAAGATGGTCCACGTCTAGGAGGAAAGCACTCAATTATTAGAAAGAGTGTAAGAACAGCTAGTAGTTCATTTCTTTCTGGGCAGCAGCAGTAAAATGTAGTCCCAGGGACAAATAAAAAGGGAAGATTTTAAGATCAGATACTACCTCTAGCTTCCAGATTTTGGGGAGGAGGTGCCAAAATGTAGAGAAACCCTAACCCCTCTGGTCTGCTTTCCTAAACTACACAGTAGAGAAGCAGCAGAGAGTGGGGAAGGAACTACCCCTAGAATGGATTTTTTTATAACTTCATTATTTACTGTTAAATGGTATAAATTTCTCTGTAAGCTTATATCCATATTCAATGTGATTGTAAAGGTTTTTCAATTGGTTTAAATTGAAGAGAGTTAACAGCTATGAAAAATTATAAATGAAACATAATATAGCCACCCAAACTAGTACTATTTATTATATTATTAGTAGAATATTTTCACAAAGGCAATATTTTGAAACAATCATCTGAAAACTGGGCAAAAACACCCATGTTTTACACTTGTAAGTGGAAAGATGCTAAGTCTTTCTCTTTAGTGATAAATTTGTACTTCTTGTTACAGGGAAGGATATGAAAATTTCTTTGATAAACTCCAAAAGTACAGTATCCCTGTGTTCATATTTTCGGCTGGGATTGGCGATGTTCTCGAGGAGGTTATCCGGCAAGCTGGTGTTTATCATCCAAATGTCAAAGTTGTTTCCAATTTCATGGATTTTGATGAAAATGTAAGAATGTTTTACATTTCCATGAAATCTCTAAAAATGCATTTCCTTTTCAGAGCTCTTTTTTATTTATCTTTATTCTGAATGTGATGGATTTAAGTATGTTTAAGATCATTGTAGCTCAAGATAAATTTACAAATACATTGAATGTAACAGTGTGCTCTATTTAGACTTCCAGACTCTGAAAATTCAACAAACACAGTTGTCAAAAGTTATTTCATTGTTGCACAAAGAAAAGTTATTTCAAAATTATTTCTTACTTTCTTTTAAATAGGGAGTACTCAAAGGATTTAAAGGAGAATTAATTCACGTATTTAACAAACATGATGGTGCCTTGAGGAACACAGAATATTTCAATCAACTAAAAGACAACAGCAATATAATACTGTTGGGAGATTCCCAAGGAGACTTAAGAATGGCAGATGGAGTAGCCAATGTTGAAAACATTCTAAAAATTGGATATTTAAATGATAGAGTAAGTACAGATCTGACATTTGATAGGTAATTGTTGCCAAAAGACCCGCAGAGAGTAGTTACTCTAGAGATATTTTGATCATTCTTTGTGGCTTTACTTTAGTTTTATATAGAAGCATGCTGTAAGTATTGAGAAGAGAGAATATACATTCTGAATGAATTCTTAGCAAATTCCATGTGGAAAGAGACTAGAGCAGGGCACCTGAGCCTCAGCTCTTTGACATTTTGGACTAGGTATTTTTTGTTAATGGGAGCTGCGTTATGGAATATTTAGCAGACCTGTGGCTTCTACTCACTAAATGTCAATAGCACCCTCAGTCAGAAGAGTAAAAAATATCTCCGGATATTACCTAGTGTTCCCTAAGGGATAAAATTGCCTCTGTTGAGAACTGTTAAACTAAAGAGAAATTGTTTTGAGAAAATCCCTATCATTAAGTCTTACAGATTTGAAAGCATTTCTTTATTGCAAAGATTTAAGAAATCAAATGGACTTAAAACATTTTGCCCAAAAGATCTATCTGTCATAGCAATGACATTTCTACTGATACTGTTTACTGTTTCTGTTGCATGTTAATTTTATTTTTGTTTTCTATTAATTAGGTGGATGAGCTTTTGGAAAAGTATATGGACTCATATGATATTGTTTTAGTAAAAGATGAATCATTGGAAGTAGCAAACTCTATCTTACAGAAGATTCTATAAATAAACATTCATCTGGAAGACCTCTCTCCTGCGGGGGCAGCTGATGTAAACTCTGCTGACTTGTTCACCTTGCTCTGAAAGACTCTTATTTATAATGCATTTTGTTCTTAAAGATTTCCTTTGTGAAAGTATTTTAAGACATGTTGATTCCATCAATTGGAAGAGCCTTTTTCTCCACTTCTGTCAGCACACTCCCCTCCATATTTTTAAACAGATTTTTAAAAAATCTTAAAGCCAAAATTAGTTCCTTACTTTTCCAAAGTGGATTTGTAGTTTAATTTCATCATGCAGTTTTTGAAAAGTCTTTTTATAATGGGAAGTTTGTGGAGGTTTTTAAAAAGTTTCTTAAAATGGTCAAATTATGTGCATGATTAGAGTGAATTTTCTGATTGTATTACTTCAAAAATTGTTTTGTTTGGAGGAAATCATTATTGACCAGAAAAGGCTGGCTTTCAGTGTTCACTGAAAAAAATTGTTGTTGTCCACATGTCACATACTGCTGCAGAATGTTCCATGTTGAAGCACTGATAATAAACATGCAGTGGAAACTTTTTAATTCTACTGTCAAGACTGTTATTCATTTAACAAGTATTTCTTGAACACCTCTAATGTTTTTCTTTTCTTATTGAAATACATAAATCATAAAGTCCTTGTCATAAAGGCAATTTAAGCTGAATATTTTTAATAACCATGTATTATCAAGAGTAAGGATATAAAGATATTTGCAGAGAAAATTTAATCTACCCTCTAGAAACTAGTGAGACAAAACTTCTTTTTCCACATTGGAAATACATCTGTAAAGGAGGAGGCTATTGTGAGAGTTTCAGAAATAGGAAACAAATTGTAGTTGGTTCACATGAACGAACATTCCTCCCAGCAAGCCAGCTTCCCATTCCACTTCTGCTGGCCCACAGATTGTTTGCTCTTGCATTGTGGTGAATTTAACTATGACTCTAACCCTAGATTTCTAGAGCAACTGACTGGCTGGCTAGCTAGCACCTGTTTTCTTTTGGCAACTGGATGGTGATATAACCACAAAATATGATCTGATTGATGTGGCCATTTACCAGCAACTTCTAGTACAATTGCATATGTCAGAAAGTCAAGGACACCCCTATTCACCACCACTATTTCTTTTAATATAAAATAAACCAAGTATGCAGTAGAAAAAAGTAGCCCATATCATACTTAAAACACAATCCCAATCCCACTGTTACCAAATAGATTCCGAAGTTACGGTGTTTGTTCTTAGCTTGGCCCTTAAAGAGTTCAAAGCATAGCCTGGAGGCCTTCAGAACGTGCACTCTGAAGTCCTTTCTAGCTAGGACTGTGAGAACTCCAAGTCCCTGACCCTTCCACTGTATATCTATGAGCACATCACTTCACACTGATGCTTAATACTTGATAATTTAAATATTTTTATTCAGGTTCAGCTTTCAAAGCAGTAATGTAGCCATTATGAAACATGCTATAGTCAGGTTTCCTGAACATGAGCCCTCTGACTTGCAGAGGTGTGGTCAGGACACATTACTTTGTCCCTCTATGTCTCACTTTCCATGTCTATGAAATGAGGTTACTGATCGACCCTCTAGGATTACATGTGATGGTCTGTATGAAGCCTGTTCTATGAAATATTCACAGTGGTTAGCTACTACCCATCTACTACAGCATAAGCTGTTACATCCCCCCGCCCACTGCCTCGTCACATCAACAAAAGAGAAGGGCTTGTCTTAAAATCTAGAACTGAACTCACTCCTGTGACTCAACATTCAGACAAACAAGTGACCTGTTAGGGGGACAATAACACCAGACTAGTTATAGTCAACAATATGAACTCTGAAGACGAGAAGGGATAGGAAAAAAGAATGAATGAACCAGAAGGAAGTGTGGAAGAGGGTTGTTCCACTGGGCGAATTGGAATCAGTGTCATGAAACAATGTGTTTGAATTGTTCCTGGAAACCCATTTGCTTTCTAAACTTCCACCCAAATCACAATAAAAAGTTAAAAAATAGAAAAACCTTTTGTAGCCTTAGCAAACACTGCTAAATGTGTGGTAACTATCACATCCTGAAGAGCCCACCATTAATTCAACTTGAAGTTTTACTCTATGAGGGAAAGCAGTTTTAAGTACTGGTGTTAACAGTTTGGATAAAACTGACAAGGTAGAACAAAATTGTCAAAGGTACATGCTCATCTAAAAAATTATTTCCAAATGATTACATCCTGCCGTGTGTTTACTAGATAAAGCTTATTTAGGTATATTTCTGGAGTCTTTTTAGCCGTTAAGGTTAGAGTTTTCTCTTTAATATACCCTACAGAAAATCAGGGAGGGATAGATAATATATGCCTTTTTTTTTATAATATATGCTTTTGAATGACTAATCATGATTACCTTAAGGTTCAACAAACATGCTGTTTTATCCTCATTTCCAGGACAGGTCTGATAAATGCCTGACGTGTAAGAAAGAAAGGCTTAACAATTGCCAAACCCAGATCAGAGTCCTCATTCTAACTTTGACCTGGGATAAGTTTCTAACCTCTAAGCTTTAATTTCCTGTTGTGTAAAATGGGGTATCAACTTGAGATGTAAAAATGAAATGAGTCATATATTCAACAGATAATGTAAGCAATCACATGTGCCTCCTGCTTTCATATAGCTTCCCTCCTAGTGAAAGAGGCAGAACTACCCTCATAAGACAGGAAGGAAAGGGCTCTTTAAAATTGTTCAAATGCCTCAAACCTATCGTTTAAATTTCATTTATACTTCTTTATTATTAAATTTTAATTGTGATTTTAATGAAAGTTTACAGAAAAGTTCATTCATTCATTGTTGCACATTTTCCTCCTTTCCCCTCCCCAGTTCACTTTTTAAATGTTCATTCATTATTGCACAATTTAACTCCTTCCCCCTACCCCAGTCCACTTTGCAATACATCTCTTAATCCGAAATGTTGTCATACATATGTTATGTGCTGTCAAGTCGCTTGCAATTCATAGCGACCCTATGTACAACAGCCCTAAGCTCTGCTCTGTCCTGTGCCAGTCACACTGTCTCCGACACACCCATCCCGATTACCCCAGTCCCTGAATCAGTCCACCTCATAGAGGGCCTTCCTCTCCTGCGCTGTCCTTCCACCCTCCCAAGTATGAGGTCCCTCTCCAAGGACCGGTCTCTCCTCACAACATGTCCAAAGTGTGTTGATGAGCACTTGGGTTGCTTCCATCTCTTGTGAATAATGCAGAAATTAACATGGGTGTGCATATGTGTTTGGATGGTGGCTCTGATTTCCTTAGGGTATATTGCCAGTAGTGGAATTGCTAGGTCCAAGGTATGTCTAATTCCAACTTTTTGAGAAAGCACCAACCCACCTTCCATAGTGGTTACACCATTTAACACTATATCCAGCAAGGAATAAGGGTTCGAATCTCTCCACAACCTCACCAGCATTTGTTTGCTGCTTTGTTGAACTTTGCTATTGTTGCTGGAGTGAGATAATATCTGATAGTTGTTTTTCAAACCTATTTTTTTAAATTATAAAAATAGAAGGATAACTAGTAAAACATGGGGATCCAAGGTAGGGGATGGGAGCAGAAGGGTGAGGATGGGTAGGGATGAAATCACAGGGTTGCACAATTGGTGAGTGGAGGGAGTTGGTAAAAGAAATGAGAAAGATCCAGCGGGGACCAGAAAAGACAAGGTGGGTGTAGTCCAATGGTGATTACTTCTTTTTTTTAAACAGAGATAATCTTTTTTATTTGTGGGTTTTCCATTTGGGAATAGGGGCACAGACTCTGCTTAATGCTGAACAGCATGAAATGAAGGTGAAGGGGAGCCCACTTGAAACACTTTAGTGGTAGTCTTTTTTTTTAAGAAAGCCACTCAGACTGCATCCTCTCTCTTGCTCTCCCATGATGGGAGAGAAGAGTGATCATCAAAGGCAAATGGCAGTTGCATTGAAGCAACACCAAGAGCAAGCTTCATGCTCAGGAGAGAGCGCTGCACCTCCTCCTCGTGGTTTCTGGTGCTCTACCCAATGAGAGAAACTAGTAAAGAAATGATCATAGAAATGATCCCGGAAATCATAGTCTTTACTGGTAATCTTGAGTTGAAACTGCATGTCTTCTTGTTCAGTAAAAGATATTTTCATGACATTTTCTGCCCTCTGGACTGCAAGGTGTGGGTGAGTCCAGTGGGAGTGGCTGGCTGAACTTTGAGGCTCCATCCACCGTCACTTCCTTAGCTGGCAGTTATATTTCCCTTTTGTCTCTGGGACTGGGCTCAGATTCTGGAACAAGACTCAGTGTTCAGGTTTTCTATAGGAAAGGAAGCAAACCTAGAGAGAACAAACGTGAGTTAAAAAGAAGAGGGCTTTGGAGGTGTTACTTGCAGGTGTACTGGAGGAGGAGATGGAGGAAAGTGCCTCAGATAAGTTCCTCATACACATCAGGCAGCTCTCCCCAGGGGCCTGGCAGCTTGCCCCAGGGGCCAGATGGCTCTGCCCCCTGTCCCCACATTCAAGGCTCTTTTGAAGTCCTTTGTGCCTTACTGGGGAGCACTTCAGGCCCTAGTGCCACCATCATTGCCCCCTTTCCTCTCTGTCAAGTGTTCTAATTGTAACTTGAAGTGGGTATTATTACTTTCCCCTTGACAAATGGAGAAGGGGCTTCTAGAATGGGTGAAGAGACCTGCTCAAGATTGAGAAAAGTAATAAAGGTAGTAGAACAAGGACTTAAATAAACTCTTAGGTCCAGACAGGGGGACTAAGGGGGGAAAAGAAGTAAAAAAATACACCAACAAAGAGTGAACAGCCCTGCCACCTGGCCAAACTAATGGATGAACCATTAATCACAATGAAAGGTCCTTCCCTTTCCTCCCTAAAGACTTTTAGAAAAACACTCCCCAATAAGTTCAAGGTGCAACTTCCCCATTCTGCATCTTCAGAATGAGGAACCTCACCCAGGAGCACCCTAATAAAGCTGCTTTACGCTTTCTCTCTTGTTCTCTCTGATTTCTTTCTTAAGTCCGCTAGCCTAACGTAAACCAAGGTTGTCTAAAGGCTGGTTGTGAAGTGCCAAGCTCTGCATGATGCTCGAGCCAGCCATCTTCCATCTTCCTCTACAAGCAAAATCTTGATCAAGATTCTTTTTTTTAATTGCTAGAAGAGTATATTCAAGTGGCATGTACACACGTGCTGGTGTCCGCCTACCGCACCTCAAA